TCTAAATAGTTAACATTTAAAGCATCTAAATCATTTAAATTGCAGAATTTTAATTTCATTTTGCGCTCAACATTGATCATTTTAATTTTGATACTGATATGCTTCCATACCTCTTACACTGTTTTGGTAAATAAAAAATCAAGTTGTTGAACAGCACCCTTGATTGCACTTTCATTCAAATTTGCACTATAGGGGCAGCCTAAGCAAAGAATTGTTAAAATCCTCTGAAGGCATTTGTTTCAAGAAAGAGTACCTATAATCTTATGCAAAAGTTTGGGCACCCCAGTAAAATTACATCTTTTGTTGATTTTCTAAGTGAGAATAAGTACACATCCTCTACAGAGAACATACTTCTGCACGTTAATGCAAAGTTACTATTTGTTAGCTGAATTTAAGCCATTTTTAACAAAACTGAAACATAATAAAATGGCCTGTGCAAAAGTTCTGACACGTTTTCCAATATGTTAAACTCAGCAAATAAATAAGACTGTGCACAGCAATTTGCAGAAAAATGCTATATTTTAGTTTGTTCCTTGTAGAGGATGTGTTAACAAAGTTTCAAACATATAATTTCACCAGGGGTTTTCAGACTTCTGCATACAACTGTATATATTGACACACTTGTCAGTTTATACATACATGTGCTGATTGAACTGGTCAGCTTAGAGATTGCCAGCGATCTCTTTCTGCTGTTGAAAACAATGATTGCTGCGTTTAAAATGAGAGCACATAACTTCGATGAGACTTTTGAATAACTCACAAAGCAGAAACTGTCATTAGTGCTTGTTATCAAAATATAGTTTTAGGCCATGCTGCTTAGTGCTACACCTGCTGCCACTTCTTAGTCAACAACAAGTTGTCTCTGGTGTCATGCCTTTGATGCTATGCACTTAACCCATTGTGTCCAGTGCTCCATTGTATGTGGGGGGTGGACTCTTTCTTATTCAGGAAAAGAGAGAGAGAGAATGATAAAGAAAAGGGAAGACATTGAGAAAAAGGGAGACCTCCAGCCACTTTTGAAGGGCTTGGAGGTTCCTCTATTCGGCCTCTCCCCCGCAGGACAAAAGGCCTTTATGCGTGCCTCAGGCAGGGGGCTGTAGGGATATGGGAGGGGGTGCTGGGCAGCAGGGCCTTTTCATCTGCATGCTGCATTCTCCGTCTCCCCCTCTGACACAGCCAGGCTCACCAGCTGTCGGCTTTATGCCTCTCCCATGCTTGTCCTCACCGAGACTGGCTGCAGAGACATACACTCACACAGTTGGCTGGAGTATCATAAGCAGGAGAGCATCTGATTGGTTAATTTAGCCCACTTGATATGTTGAAGTCACTGATCATTTTCCTTTGTCTTTTAAATTTAAAAAGGTCATTTGTTTCATCTTTGCTGAGGCCTTTGCTTTGCTATTACCTGTCTTTAATAAATCATTAGAACAGTCAGGTACAGAGCGGAATGTGGGCACATGCTCAGGTTAATGCACTTCTACAGTTCCCTCATAGTCATGCCAAATATTATCAAGTGCTAAATCTCCTTCAGATGCAGTATTTCTGAATGCAACCTTCATCCAAACATTTGTCTGAGGCTCTTCTTCTGTTTCCTTTCTTGGTAGTTTCACTTACAACAGTGAAGTTGGCATAGTGGTTGCTTAAACACTTCCTAGTCTGTGAAAAAAGCAGGTGACCAAACATTATGTCTGTTCCTCAATCGCAAAATTTGAAAATGAATCTGATTAGAAATGTAGGGGTTTGGAAAGTTTGGTTTAGTAGAAAAGTGGAATTATTTTGCCGTGTTTTGGAGTTTCTTGCAAAATTAATCCATTTTGAAGTCTTGTTCACTACCTGTATTATTGCAGCACTACAATACGTAGACATTTCAAAACGGTCATTTTTATGAATGTCCCGTACAATAGTGACAAATGCTTATGTGAGCATTATTTTTATATTTCTGTTGTCAACATACATCTCCAGTGACAAATGGACTTAATCAACTCTCAAATAGTCTTATGTGAAAAGGCTGTGTCTTAGCTGAATGGAAGTGATGATTATTCATCAGACAACGTTCCTCAGAGGCTTAAGGCAGCTGTGCAGCCACACTCACAAACAGACAGCAGGTGCATTAAAGGAGTGCAAACAGAATGACTTAAGTGGGGCAAGCCATTTACAACTTTTGCCTTCTGCAGGTGGTGAATTTGCATCATATTTAGGAAATGTGTTTTTCTGTCCGTTAGAGCTGTGTAGAGTTTAACGAGTCTGATAAAGTCTTCAGAAATAAGCTCCCAACTAGGGATGTGCCCACGAAGTCTGAAACTTGAGTAACTGTATGATATAATTAACAAATATTCGGTTAACTGTGAGTAAGGAAAAATTATGATGCACAAACGCTCTAAATTGGTGCACTGGTGCTAAACAGATGAAACAAATCGGTGACACGAACAGAAGTTTAGCAGCTCACATACATGTACATTTGAACGTGTCTTATTATTCAAAAATAGCCAACAGAAAAGTCTTCGTCACTGTGGTGGAGTGATGGACACGCCTGGATCATCCAATGGGTTTTATGGGCACATGCTCAGGGGCCTGAACCGATGGGGGCCCCCACAAGCAATTCTGACAAAATCTAAACAGCTGTACCAGTAGTGGTGGGATCTTTAGTAGCAGCACAGTGGAAAAAAGAGCTAATTTGTCATTGTCTTACAGTCTAAATGCCAGCTTCATTTTCTCCTTCAGTTACTGCTTAGTAAGTAGTTCACTATCGTTATTGCATCAGTCAAGCTGTCAGTTTTTAGTAGTGAGCTAGCATTAGTTTCTTTTAATATATTTTGGAGAGCCAGATATTCAGATGATGTGCCTTGGATCTGTAAAAGCGGCCTGTAAAACCTAAGTATGCTCATTTCTAAAGCCAAATATAAAATGTCACCCTAGTGAAAGAAAAAAGTTACATTTTTCTTGTTGACAGTGATCTGCAAACTGTCATCAGAGGTAAGATATAAATGTGCTGCTTTTTTCCGTCTTTATGTATGTTTCAGTTGTCTGCCTTTAATTTTTCATTTTCTTTGAGATAAATGTTATACTTGTCAAGAGCAGATGCATGATAAGAAAATATTGCCTTGTTTGTTGGGTTTATGTTAATCTATGATCTCATTAATGTATGTGTAATGTTGCTATTGTTTTGCCTCAAATGAAAAAACTGCAGTTAATGTGCTGTCAACGTGGTGCTGCATAGCAGAGGTTTGCACTCCCGTGGGGTTCCCGCTAGACCCATGGGACCCACCAAAATATCTTGCGGTGCTGGAATAATTTTCATTGTTGTGCCTGGGAGTTCACGGGTAACCAGCCCACTGCAGCACACATGAAGAGAAATCCCATAAATTAATGAATAACCTAAATAAAGTAGAATGATCTCTAAATCATGCATAGAAACTATATAAAATGATAACAGTGAAACAGTTACAATAAATGGTCATTCTAAATAGTTCAGCTGATTCAACCAGTCACATGAACATAATGCACATTTTTGTAGCTTACAGAGATGGTGGAGCCTTCAGTCTGATGGCCAGAGCTGCCAAGCCCAGCAAAGTACCAAAAATAACCATTCTGTGATTTAATGTTTGCTTTGTGTTTACTGGGAATAAATGGCGTATGATGAAGTTATTTCACAGTAAGCCCAATGATTACCGTGTTGTCATCATGTCAGCAGAGAATAATGTATTTGTGAATAGACTCGATGTTAAATATTGGATGTCAGTTCACTTTGATGGAACTGCGCGGGCTGGAGCGGGGCAAAACATTTCTGTTGCGGGTGGGGGTGGGACACATGATTCCAGTTTTCTGCGGGAGTGGGCGGGAGTGTGACTGAAAAAACAGTCCCACACAGGCATCTGCTGCATAGGTCTCGTGAAACCTGCTAATTATCATAAGTCATAAAATAATCACTGACTACCCAAAAAATCTAGCCAGGCAGGCGCCCACCAAACATTTGTGCCCAGGGGCCGATAACTTGATGATCTGGGCCTGGTGATGGAGACTGCCTTAAATGAGCCGGTGAACTATAACCCTAACATTAGGGCTAACCAACGCGGCGATAAATGCCGTTTTCTACATGGAAGTTTTTGTTTTTCTTTCTTCAGTGGATGAAGTGCCAGTTTGTCTAGGTGACATTGAGAACAGAGAAATATCTCTGTTGTTTTTTCTTTCTAGCTAATGCCAGCTAGAGTAGTTAGAGGAGTTACAGCCACACTATCTCTGCCTTCGCAGTCACATTCTCTTAAAACATGAATGTTTGCCACTTGCTTCATTGTAGAAAAATATAATATACTTATTTATTCCTGAACATTGCTCTGATGGTAAGAATAGCAAAACACTGCCAGTTGACAACCTTCAATTTGTGGCCTACACATATTACCTGAGGTTATATGATAGAGGCCTTGCTTAAAGTTCTTAAATCTGTGATAAAGAGTCCATTTATGTGCACTTAATAATCCGATAACTACAGAAAATCAGATTTTGTCAGTAATCCGATCAGCACATTTACGTTTACATGCTCTTGGGGAAACAGATAATGGGAAACCTCTGGGTTTAAATGTGTCAGGCAGTAATCGGATTTCTGCTTCGAAACCAGCCAATAAACTCACAGAATAAGATGTGGCCTAAACATAATGTAAAACTTCATGCTGTGGCTTTTATTTATTTATTTATTTATTTATTTATTTATTTTTTAAACATCAAGCTACTTTACCTAAAAATATGAAGAACATTTAAATCCTTTATTTCATCAAGCATATTTCAACACATCAGCTGTCCTTCATATTGTGTAAAAAATTTTCATGATTAATTGACCTGCAGAAATGCTCCAAATCACTTGGAATAAAACCTCTTTACATTAACTTGCATTGAAAGGAAAGAGTGTTTTTGCCTTCTGCTGTAAAGTCACTATTTTGGAGATACTTGTTTTTCTTTGGACAGCGACGATATCTTCTCCTGACTTGTTTGTGTCTTTCTGTTTGTAGGAAGCTGTTCTGAGAGCTGGAGAGGTGGTGACTAGAAGAAGAAGCTCCATCATATCTCCTGTATGATGGCCAACGCAGTGAGTATTATCACTTTCTTTTTACCAAGCATGTGTGATGATGTTTTAGAACGGGAATGCTGTGTGTGGAGAGGGTTATGGTAACTGTCTTATGGTGACTGTTACTCTCACAATATTTTGAACAATATATTGATTTGAATAAAATATGACTATAATAATGTTGCTCAACTTATGACACTAGAGATGTTGTTAGTGAGTTGTGTAACATCATGATTAAAGTCACCATCATTGGGAGGTTCATCACTGAGTTGGTTGTTTGCCAGCTTTGGTGCAACTAACTGGATTAGATGGAAATTAATAGAATTTCCATTCTCTGTGATGCATATTGTTGTGTCTTTTGCATTGTGATTTCAAAATGTCTTGATGCATTGTTACATCCCCAATGATACAGAATGTTCACTTCAAGAGTGTCATTTGTTTGCCAAGAACGAGTCCCATTTGCATTCCCCTTTCAGTCCTAGCAGACTCACTGTTCGGTATATTTGGAATATTAGGTGATGACCAATTTTTTCCCTTCTCACCCTCTCACCCTCTTTTTTTCCCCTTCCTTGGTCAGGCCTACTCTTTGTTTTCATTCTTTTGTTTGTTGTTCCTTTCACTTTTACTTTTACTTCTACCTTCTGAATGTGGGTTCGCTGCTGTCTGCTTATGCCGTCCTTCCTTAACTCTGGTTCTTTGTCCTTCGTCATTCTGCATTGTGTCAAATTGATGTAACAATGACCTTTATGACCTTCCTGCCTAATGAATGGATGTCTCGGTAAACTCTACTGACATCTGTAGACTTTTTTTTCTGTTCGCTGACTGAGTGGAACTAAGTTGTACTTGTTGCTAATGGGTTGTAGAAAGTTAGATTGAAATGAAAAAATCTCAATTTAAAAACTGCTGGAGATGAGGCTTTCTCTTGAACGATGTGGTAAACTTGAAATTTTCTTGGACTTTCCTGATGAAATGAAGTTGAAGTTTCAAACAAGCTCCAGCAGTTAATGCAGAGGGTCCATGACATTTGCTGTAGTTCTACAATCATTTAAGAGTTAATAAAGCTGTAGGTGGCACATGCCTCAGTTGAAGGGAGCGCATGCATCCCATAGAGAGAAAATTAAAATTTTAGATCGTGGGATCCCAAACTTTTGCCACTCGCAGCCCACACAAACGACCACATAAGCTTCCACAGCCCACAAGATTTAACCACCCATCTTCTTCTGACTCACCTAATGAGATAGCTAATCTTACATCTATAGCTGAACTGTAGTTACTGGTTTTCAGTTCTCACGCATATAAAGCCCAGCGCTATGTATTCACTTCTGTATTTCCTTTGTTTCGGTTATGATTGCACTGAAAATATAAACATAACTAGCACTTTGCTAGACAATCAGTGAGCTTAATATACAACCCCATTTCCAAAAAAGTTGGGACACTGTGCAAAATGTAAATAAAAACAAAATGCAAAGTGCAAATAATCGAAACCCAATATTTTATTGAAAATAGTACAAAGACAACATATCAAATGTTGAAACTGAGAAATTTTGTTTTTTTGAAAAATATTTGCCCATTTTGAATTTGATGCCAACAACACTTTCCAAAAAAGTTGGGATGGGGGCAACAAAAGACTGGTAAAGTTTAGTGTAATGCTAAAAAAAACTCTGTGAAAGACTGCACAATTAAATAGTGCAACAATTCAAGAATAATGTTTCTCAACATAAAATAGCAAAGAACTTCTGCTTTTCATCATCTACGGTACATTAAAAGGTTCATTTGCTGGATGTGATCTTTGGGCCCTCAGGCGGCACTGCATTAAAAACAGACATGATTCTGTAGAGGAAATCACTGCATGGGCTCAGAAACACTTCTGAAAAACAGTGTCTGTGAAAACAGTTCATCACTAATCATCCATAAATGCAAGTTAAAACTCTTAAAACACAAAGAAGAAATCATATATAAACTGGATCCAGGAATGCTGCCACCTTCTCTAGGCCCAAGCTCATTCAAAATGGACTGAGGGGAAGTGGAAAAGTGTTCTGTGGTCTGACGAATCAACATTTGAAATTCTTTTTGGAAATCATGGACACTGTGTCCTCCGGGCTAAAGACCACTCAGCTTGTTATCAGTGCGCAGTTCAAAAGCCAGTATTCATGATAGTATAGGGGTGCATTAGTGCACATGCCATGGGTGACACGCACATCTGTGAAAGCACCATTAATGCTGAACGATATATACACGTTTTGGCAACATATGACACCATCCAGACGATGTCTATTTCAGCAAGACAATGTCAAACCACATTCTGCATGTATTGCGGCAGCATTACTCCATATTTAAGTCCACGTGCTAAAATGGCCTGCCTGTAGTCCAGAACTGTCACCAGTGTATACATTTGGAGGCTTATGAAATGAAAAATGTGACAAATGAGCCTCAGAACTGTTGAGTAGCTGAATTCCTATATCAAACAAGAAAGGGAAAACATTTCACTTTCAAAACTACAGCAGTGTCTCCTAAGTTCCCAAACACTTACAGATATGTTGATATGTTGTATTTTCCTTTAAAAATATGGTTTACATGATTTGCACATCATTGCATTCTATTTTTATTTACATTCTGCACAGCGTCGCAACTTTTTTGAAAGTGGGGTTGTAAATATAATGTCTTATTTTTGTAAATAATCAACAAGATTTGTCATATTTAAAATCTGGTTAAATATCTATATTGTAATAAAGTTTTGCTATATAAAAAAGATGGCCATCGGCCCCTTAGCGGTCTCACCACAGCCCACAGGTTCAAAACCACTGCTTTAGACAACTGTTGACTACTTTTTTACACAGAAAAGGCTTTACAGGATAGTTCAGTAAAGTATTTTACAATGAACAAAAGTTCATGGTGCCACAGTAACTAAAAGCACGAGATTTCTTTATCCACATGAGAGGAGTTCAGCTTCAGTACAAGGTGGATGAGGCTTATGGCTGTGTTTATTTTCACAACACTCAGCTAAAAGTGATGTTTATATGTGTGTTTCTGACTAATAATCATTTTTTCCAAAATGCTTACTTCTTTCAGGTTGGTGCTACACCTCTCTGTGCTGATTTAAAGGCATTTCTGACTACCCAGAACCTACCAAAAGGTAAGAATAATTCCTTTTTTAATATTACTGTACTATTATATATTATTAATACAGCAGTGTTTTTAAAGGACCCATGCTCTACATTTTTTGTATTGTTTTTCCTGAAATCCACTGTGACTGACTGTAAAGCGTTCTTGAGCTGGAAAAGGTGCTATATAAATAAAAATGCTGATGTTTGTGTGGTTTTATGTGCCTAAATTAATTGTAATTCATTTGTGCCTTTTAAGGCTGCTATGTCAGTGACTTCTAGCTGTCTGCCCTGTATTTAGCCTCATTCCAAAGGTAGTCCAGGCTGTATAACATCAGAGTGAATGGGCAGGGCAGAACTGCTGTAGGCTGAATAGGCTAATTTATGGAAATTTTGTGACATCATTAAAGCAGCATATCCAAAATGAGCTGCTTCTGCAGCTTGATTTCCATAGATGGACTGTACAGACTTGCAAGTTAATGGTACGTTTTGGAATTATGACAACATTTACATACTTAAACTCTGTGTGTTCTCAAATAATTTCACTTGCTTTGTTAGTGGGATTTGGCATCTGCACACAAAGTTTGATATTTTTATAGTTTGGTTCTTCTCGTGTCATTGCAGAATAATGACATAGAGAAGAAAAATCTTAACAAGTAACTTAAATCTTAACTTAAGTAACTTGACAGTAAGTTGAGAGCATTATTTAATAATTGAGTAATAACTGATATCCAGACATTATTATATATAATAGCTCAGTAATGTTTAATGGGTAGGCTAAATAGTACTGATTCCAGACCTCTTGAGTTGCACAAAAAGGCCTCAATTCTCTACAGTTTTCCTCATATATTGATAGCAGTGGATGGAAAATAGACATTTTGTCCAGAATCTACAAATATGTTCAAGTTAATCTGTGTAAAGATGTTTTTATATGTCAACTGCCTTTCTGTCGTTCACATAATGCTTTTGTCTAGATTGATTAGATAAACTCTAAGCATATTGTAAGGTGAGGTCTAAGGTTGAGTTCACATGCACAGTGGATGTTTTAGTTCTGTTTGCTTTGCTGATTAAATCGAGTTGAAGCTGAACAAGCTCAGGCACTTAATATAGGGGAGCTTAAGCTGTCACATTTATATATTTTTTATTTTCTTGTATGCAGTCCTGCTAAAATGTAACCCAGCAATCTTTCTCTCCTAAATACCTAAATGTAACATGTTGCAATATCAAGAGAAGCTCAGTCTCTATCTTTTATTGGATTACAGCATGTTCTTGTGTGTATGAAGGAATACAGAAAGCAGGCACATGCTTCTATTTAGGCCCATACAGCTTTTAGATTTGAACATTTGTTTTGATTAGATTTACTCTCCTTTGTTTTTTGTTTTAGGGATGTTCTTACGTTTCGCCCTGAGGTCTGCTGTGCATGTCAAGATGCGTTTAGTCGTTAGGATTTCTAGAGCTTTCCCACAGCTCTTGTCAGGCCAGACCAAGTGATTACCCATCTCACTCTACACAGTCGTGTGTGTTTGCATGTGTGGGGACTGAGCAGGCTGGTGGGTTTCCTGTGAATGAAGCCATGTGCCTGTGAGATGGTGGACTCACTCTGTGTTCGTCCGGCAATGTCTCACTGGCTTCTCAAGTTTCTTCTAAATGGTAACAAAGGGGAGAAAGAGAGCGAGCATGTGTGAGAGAGGAGGTGCTACGCCACAGCCTGGCAGAACTGCTAGAACCTTTTAGAACCATGTGCTCCCCTTCTTTTTTTCCTTGCTTCTCTGTTCTTTCTCTCTCAGCTTCCTCTGTTGCTCTTTAAACACTAATAGCATTTATACATTCAGTTGGCGAATAGCTAATGTGTGGAGTAAAGAGGAAAAACTGAAAGAATTATCTGCCTAAATTTTGTGAACCTAACTGAAAATTTCATTTCTTGTAAATATCTTAAAGGGTCCACATCCTATTTTTCTTGTATTTTATTTTTCCCTTAAATCCGATTATATGTCTCTGTACATTCATGTACCAAAACAGTCATCATTCGTTTTAGGTGACCATTTTCTAGTCTCTCTTTATCTCTTAGAATAAAAAAGGCTGTTTTGTTACTGTGCCTTTAAGATTGATCTATGTAAATAACCTTTGTTTTGATTGGCTGCCCTTTATTGTGCCTCATTCATAAATCAGTCCAGGCTAAAGCACTTCTTATAGCTCCAGTGTAAATGGACAGGCCTGACTGCAGTTGGCTGAATATGTGGCTGTGTAAATGTGTTGTTTTTTATAACATCACAGAAACAGTTGATTCAAAACAGGTTAATTTGCAGCTTAGTTTCCATGTATGGACAGGAGAGTGAATAGCATGTTTTGAAACTTGAGCCATTTACATAGTACATCAAATTGTTTTATTTCAAAAAACAAGAAAAAGTTGTTTTTCCATTGGAGCCCTTAAAAAACTGAATAATTCAAGGACCTGTTTTTATATAATGAGGCACAAGAGCTTTGTCGTTACTGTAGCCTCACCTAGTTAAGCATGCAAAGCCCTGAATCAAAAGCCCCCAAAATCTCTTGTACTGTCATAATTTACAGACTGAATTTCTGTTAAGCTACTATCTTGGAGACCCTTTTAATCAAATAGCAAATGGTGAAGGAGGCCTCTTCTCCAGTCGGTTTATGGATCAGGTCAGTTTATAGTGTCGTCCTAGAAAAGTGCTACTTTTTTAGTGCCTCAGCATGTAAAGCAAGTACAATGGTCTGAGTTCAGGCATCTTCCGGTATTCCGAGTTGTTCACTCCACCTCTACTCTGTAGTTCCTCTGTAGCAACAAGTCCAGGGGGAGGGGAGGAGTGGTCTACCCTGCATGTGTGTGTATGTGTGGGACTGGGCTTGAAGCTTGAGTGGTGGGCTTATGAAAGAGAGGTAGGCAGAGGGAGAAAGGAGGGAAGTATGGAAGTACTGCTCGTTCCTCTTCAAAAACAAGCAGGTAAACAACTCAGACTGACTTTGTAGTAACTATATTACACCAGACGGACGCTTAGGTGTCTTTCTTTTGTTCTCTCATGTTCCCTGTGTATAGTCCAGTTATGGTGTAGCTTATGCAATGTAAATGAAGTGAACTTGCAGTTATCCTCTTAAATATTTTGCATGGTCTTGTGTGGCTCCTCTGCTCTTTCTGTTTGTTTTGCCATTCATTTGAGAGAAGGAGAAATGCAGATATGAGTTTCTCTGGCGAATGTAGATATCAGACTGTAATTTAGACTTTGGCTGCGTTGTGTGTGTGTGTGTGTGTGTGTGTGTGTGTGTGTGTGTGTGTGCGCGCGCGTTTGCTTGCACATGTACGCATGCTGGCCTGAAGCTCAGCTGTATTCTAATGAAGCAGTGCTCATTGTTGCTCTATAGAGTGAGGCACTGACGCATTCCTCTGCTGAGGCCCATCCTGCTGCAGCCGTGTCTAATGCACACAGGCTCAGCCGCCAGCCCAGCAGTGTGCAGAAAACCTTTACTGATGGGACAAAATTCTCCTTTTCACTCATATTTCGAAATCCTATGCATTAAATGTTGACAAGTAACACTTGTTTTGGGGTAATTTGACCGAGTATCCATTTGTAATTCTTAATTCTTTGTTTTTTTTAAATCTAGGGGAAGTAATTTTTAGCCTTTATGCCCTAGATTGTCTCATAATAATGCTTAATGCTACCAAACATGGTTACATTCAAATGCTAAATCAGATTTATTAAAATGCTCAAAAATAAATAGGTAACAACTACTTAGCTTCTGATATCTGTACTTAGACATGTGAATGCTGATACTGTTCATTATGCTCCTATTGCTACTGTGCCCAATAAAGATGATGATTAGATACATTAAAGTTCATCCACTGTCCCCAAACATTTTAATCATATCAAGCTTATCAGCTAAACAGATCATTTCGAATTAAAAGTAATTTGGTTATATTTAAATTGGAACTAAATTTCAAGCTTCGGTCTATAAGCCTTGTAGTTAAATGAACACATGAAGCTGCTGTTCAGCAGTAGTAGTAGTTCTTTATCTGCTGCATCATGGAGGCGGCTCTCATGATTGCTGTCTCAAATAAAATGCATCAATAAATGAAGAGTACAACTGCTAATAGGAACTCGGAGATGCATCTGTCCAGTGTAATATACAAGATGTCACATCTGTCTCTCAGCTAAATTAAATTAATCAAAGTGTTTATCATTTGATGAAGTGAGTGATGTAGTAGGCAGTGCTATGGATAATGGAACCTGTAAAACTGGTGTTCCATTATTCATAGTTGTCCTTCAAACCTTTGCATAAATTTCAACTGTGAGACAATTTTGGGAATGCGTTGAAAATCAAACTGTGATTTGGTTAATGCTGAACAGGATACAAGATGATTGTGTATGACCTTCAGGATAATTTATTAGGAAATGTGCTTTACATTTAAGCATAACAGCACCTCAACCATAAGAGAGTGTCACCATGAGACAACAAGGATGCAACCCATCAAAAAATCTATTATGAAACGGACGGTCCAGGTCTGACTGAGCCACATTTGAAGCCATTGTAAGATACTTGATATACGCACACTTAGGAGTGCACACATCAATTGGATTCTATATTAATGCACTAAGAGATATATGGACCATGGAAAGTAGTATTGATAGGTGGGGCGAGACGTAAGTGTGTTTACGAAGTAAATGGCCTGAAGCCATATCGAACATTCCCTATACAAGAACCCAGTTTAAACCAACAACCGGCTGACAGCTATAATGTGTTGTTGATTATGACTAAACTAAAAAGTTGATGAAACGACTGGAATATATGGTTCTGAAATGAAAACTTAGCATTCATTACTAGTCCAAGTTAACATACAAAAATGCCCTGTCCAGGGCTTTGGCTCAGTGTACCTCAGAAGCGCTTGAAAGCCATCACCATCCATCATGTTCTCTACAATTTTGCACACTCATGTGATGTCCTCACACTGCCATGCACCACACGTTCCCTCAGAGAACATTTATGAAATAGTTACCTGTCATATCACTTGCAGATTTTTGGTTTCTGTGGTACATCATTGTAGATGTTGTCCACTCAAAAACTGGTTCCAAACAGCACTATTCTTCCTTTTTTTTTTTTCAAAAGCCTGTCTAGCAAAACCATTGTTTTTGTGCATTCTTGCAAACAATTTAAAAAATGATCCATTACTTTAATGATAAACCCACCTGTTCAAATACAAACTGTTGTTCATTGGAAATCATTTTTTTTTTCTTATCCAAAAACGTTGGTCAGACAGTTTATTTGCAGGTTAATGGTTGATCAGTTAATCATTTACTTCCCTAATACTGATTGACCTGTATCCTTGGTCCACAAAACCATTTTTTAACTGATCAGTAAGTTCCTTGGTGAAGTGTTGCTACAGGAACAGCTGCGCTGACAAAGTATATGAAGGACAATTAAGGTGTGTATGTGTATATAATCTTCCGGAACTTGGCGGCTCTGTAAGAACTTATGTAGTCCCTGATTATAGTTCATATCAGCAAAGACATAGCATTTTAGTACATATATAGAAAAGTAGAAATAAAGAGGAGAGAACAGTGTCCAGGTTTGGGTTTTGCAGAGGAATGAAAGAGTATCTGTAGACTTTGACTGAGATGTTGGTACTCAAACTTCACACATATAACAGCAATACATACAGTACTACAGGGAATACTTAATCTTTATATTCAAACATTTTACAATTAATGCCACCTGCTGGAATTCTACTGAAAGCATAATGATCTTTGTATGGTGGCAGATCTTTTGACTTTTCATTCATTGTTCGCAACGTAAGCATTTTTGGATGACGTGATCTTTTAGGGTGCATAGTGTGTGGGCGTGTTTGATATTTAACGCTGTATATGCACTGTGTATAGTGTCTGCTGTCTTGAATGTGCATGTTATAAGGCCCATTTGTATCTCCTTTCATTCATATGCAGCAGTCTTGATGTAATTTGCATTCCTATTCAAACACTGGGAACCCAAGGAAATGAACTCCTTTTGCCCTTTGAGTACGTCACATCCAGTGCTGCTGTGTATCTTACTGAACCACACTGAGCCTTTTCAACAGCACTGCGACACTGCCTCCTACACATGATCACTCCTTGTTGAAGATGCCCTTTTAAAGTCATTTTGGACCATTTTTTCTTTCCTGAAGTTTAATCTGCAAAGCTGGTATCAGTTCATTGTAATAAAGCTACATCTACAGTCATCTTTATGAGAGCTGTCAGATCTGTCAGCTTTAGGCTAATGTAAAAAGCACTGGTTAAAATGTGGTGGGATAACTGAATATAAAACTGTCTCTATATTTGTCGTTATTGATAATTGTTCAGTGACGTGCTCTTTCTGTTTGTATGTTCTTTCTGTTATGCAGGTAACATTTCCCTTGTGACGCCGTCCAACTACAGCCCTGCCACCAAGATTACTTTAGGAGCAGTGAATGCGAATGTGGGAGCACAGACGGTGAGCTTTCTGCCCTAACATCTCTTATGCACACTCTGGAAAACACTTGCATACAGGTAGAATGATGCCACTTGTGATGATGAATTAGTAAATCCCCATTCAGTTCCAATAGATCCAAGTAATACAAGAGTGTAACCAATTTTTGTGGCTCTCTGTTTTGGCACCTCAGATCTTAAGCTGTCATTTTTGTTTTGGCTAGTCCTGTTTATCCCTGGATAGCACATTTCCAAACTCGTAAACACACATATGTAAAGGGTGTTTCTGCCTGATGTGCCCAAATCAAAATTTTCTCTGTTCTAGGAGCATAAATTCATGTTTGTGACCAAGTTTGGCACTCATTCTTTGGCAGTCAGTCTTGTGTAATTTAATATCATATAATGGTTTGCAGTAATGGTCCAGGAGTCCCCTTGCCCTGTACAGTGTTTTTGCTGTGTTAAAACAATCACTTAGACCTGAGGGACTTATTAATTAGTTGATTAGTTGCGTTGGGCACGTTGGCACAGGAACAGTACTTAAAGGTGCTCCAGAGCCAGAGACACGTATCGACAGTACAGTAGAAGTGAATGTGATGTGTAGAGAATTGGCAGCTGTGTTTGATAAAAGACAAGCTATTGGAGTTGTATTCAAGCTAAACAGATTAGAGGAATTTGACGATGAGTGTGACGTATCTGGCAGAAGATTTCAGCACAGTTCAGCACCCAAAGTTTAACAGGTTGTCTCATTACGAGATCACGTCTGGCCAAACAAGACTAATGGGTACTTTACTACTGCTCTTACTGATTCCTTTTTTTTATATAATTTTGCTAGATCTTTACATTTTATTCATATCTATACAGTTGGCTATGCAGTTGTCTTTCATAATTAGCCTATTTTTCGCAGGCTAATTTATCGTTAGTATAGCACACTAGCAGAGGGTCTTGATTTATTTTTGGCAACAAACAATGTCTTCAACTTAACTAAAAGGTAACCACACTTACTGTTTCGTTCTCTGCCTCATTGTGTCTTTTGTGTAGCGTATACCTCTTAGGTTGAAAGACAGGCGTTGAGAGAAACAGTGGCTTGATTGTGTTTCGATAAATTCCTTTTAGAAGAAGAACAATTTTCATTGGACCTTATCAGTGCTTTTGTTTTTAAGAATTATTTTAAGAATTAAAAATTCATATTGGAGGCATCTACAGGCTAATGCATAGTTCACTTTAGTTGCATTTCAATTCTAGTGATTAACTCTCAAAGTGACTCCCGCAGTGCACTGTGCAACCAGAGGGGGGCAGTAACACATTATGATCGACTGCATGTGTTTCCAGCTCAGCCTTATCACTTATACAGCCTTTGCGTGTGTGCAGTGATGAGTTGAGTCACTGAATTATGTATGTATGCATGCACAGTGGAAATGAGGAGGGGCGAGAGGGCTGGGTATGGAAAAGGAAGAAAGAGTGAACAGCAGAGGTCACTGGGGCTCTGCAGGGCGAACAGAGTGATGGGGAGCTCAGCTGGGTGAAAAGAGAAGGGGAGAGGAAGTGGCAGGATGGAAAAGATGTGTATTGCAGAGGAGGTCAGGAAGGACGTTCAGAACAAGAGGAGCAAAGGAGGTAGCTGAGCATTGAAAAAGAGGGGAACTTGGAGGAGAAAATGGGGACCCCCTTTAGCTTGGTTAGTGGAGAACAGAACACTGTGTGTTCCGTGCTCCATTAATGAGCTCGTTAGTGGGGACATGCGTGACTTCCCATTTACAAATCCTTGCAACATAGAGCAGCCTTCCCAGCAATGTGGCACTCACACATTGGCTTACTGTACACTACAGCGGGGACCGTGAGAGGTGGAGGAGGCCCAGCACATTGCAGTGCATAAGAAGATGGATAGAAGCAGGCCTATGGCCTGGGCCCCTGACCACATAGTTTCATGCTTTGGCCACTGAAAATGCAGAGCCTGTGGCCCAATTGGCTGCTTGCCTCATAGATTTTTTTTTCTTTTAACAAATCTGTTTGGTTTGACAAGGAACAAACTACATCAAATCAGTTTATGTAGGAATTCATTAGCTTTAACCATGGCTGATGTGATGACCGCGGTGATCATTTCTGCCGAATATGTCTGCCCAACGTCAAACATGCTGTTCCATTGACTGAAGTTTGCTAATATCATTCTGTGAAGTAAGGTCTTAAATAAAAGAAGGTATTTCATGAAGTAGCTAAACAGTACCTAAAGACATAACTGAGATCAAGTTACACCTGACTGTTCTTGGTGCTGAAGCAAGTTAATAATTAGTAATTGTAAATAAATAAATAAACATGTTTGTATTGTTGTTTATTCTTATGTATTGTGATTTATTTAGTGGCCCAAGTGGCCAGTGGAAATTTTTAGATCAGTCTACTTCTGGAAAGATGCAGGAGAGAAAAGGAGAGGTGGTAGAAGGGGCGGCAGGAGGGAGCCATGCAACATGAAAATGACTGATGATCTGCATTGATTTAGGTTGTTCTCGTCTCTAGGGGATAGAGCATAAAATCATGAGTGGATAGCCCCAACATTAAGAAAGGAAGGGTGTGTGTGCATGTATGTGAGAGATAAGACCTTTGATTGCAGGTTTTTGCAGTATGTTCTTTCATGGTACATGTGTACGCATGGACCGAAAGACCCTGTCTGCTATTTTTAGACTAAGGATATTCTTATCTTCTTCTCTCTCTAGATTATAAGCACGCCTCAAAGAGTGGCTCACTCAGGAAGTATCCTCATCAGCAGCCCCTTCACACCACACACTACACCTGCTACCATGGTAACACAAGTACGCCCACCAGAAGGCATCGAATGGACCCCAGGGTGAGTACTCCCCCTTCCCCCACATGTATGTTGGCTTGAACTGCTCGTAAATTCCCAGCGGTATGACACTGGGGAGAGAGGAGTGTTCTTAATAGAAATGGATGGAGAAAGCTGTGAGAAGAAGGCTTGTGGAATCTGACCTCCTAAAGATTATTCATAGCAGAGCACAGATTGCATTGACTGTGTACAGGAAAAGGAATACACTGTATGGCCAATGGTATGTGGACACTCCTCCTAATTATGGAGCTGAGGTGTTTTAGCCACATTCATTGCTAACAGGTGTGTAAAATCAAGCACATGGCCATACAATCTCTGTACATAAACATTGGCACTAGAATGGGTTGTACTGATTTGCTATTTTTTTCAAATGTGGTACTGTAATTGGATGCCACCTTTGCCACAAGTCAGGTTGTGAAATATGTCCTGCTAGATCTGCCCCGGTCAACTATAAGTGCAGTTATTATAAAAAGCTAGCGTCTAGGAGCAATAACAGCTCAGCCATGAAGCTGTAGATCGCGCAAACTCACAGAGTGGAGCCACCGAGTGCTGAAGCACATAGTGTGTAAAAATAGCCCATCCTCTGTCTCATCACTCACTACAGAGATCTGCCTCTGGAAGCAGCATCAGCACTGTGCATTGGAATCTTAATGAAATGGGCTTTCATGGCCAAGCAATCATATGCTTTCCTGTTCCAGCATGACTGTGCCCCTGTGCACACAGCGAGGTCCATAAAGACATCATTTGACAAATATGGTGTGGAGGAACTCCAGTGGCTTGCACAGAGCCTTGACCTCAACTCCACTGAACACCTCTGTTTTGAATTGGAAAGTTGATTAACTGTCTGACCTTCTCATCCAACATCAGTGCCTGACCTCACAAATACTCTTTTGACTGAATGGGCACACACACTCAAATGTTGTGGAAAGCCTTCCCATAAGAGTGGTTAAGATATAAAAATGGGTTGACTCCATGTTAATGCCTATGGGTTTGGAATGGGATGTCCAACAAGCTCAAATAGGTGTGATGGTCAGGTGTCTAAATGCTTTTGTCACATAGTGTAAATTTTTTTTTGGATTAATAAATGGTTCTGCTCTCTTCCCTAGGAACAAGAAACGGACACACGACTTTATAGACTCCTATTACTCTGATAGGTGAGTGGCAGCTGATGTTCAGTGTAGGATGAGGAAAGGTCTTTCTATAAAACTACAGTCAGGTCTGGAATTATTGGCACCCTTGACCAGCATTAAAACAAAGAGGTTTTGAAAACAGAATACCCACATTGTTTTTTTCCTCTGCTGTCTATTTCACCCACTGAGAGCAGGACTAGTTTTACCCTCATGGACTCAGCATCACAGAAGGCCTACGGTTTTACTGGTCCAGTTGAGCTGCTCAGGAACCGTAGGCTTATTAAACATTGAAAAGAAAGTGCTTAGGACTGCCATAGATGGCTCAGCAAGTAGTTTGCTAAAAGCAGGAAGCCATATTTTAGTACCCATGCTTTAGGGGAAAAATATACAGTTTAAAACGTTGGCTTATCAAAAAATGTGTAAAAATAAAATAATGTGTAAAAGCCAGCATGTGGCTTGTTATATGCACTGTTTATTTTAAGCAACTAGGTAATATTAAGAAGCCAATAAATCTGGATCTGACCGTGCAGTTAATTTATAATAATTCATAGTAAATTCATATAGTAGGCTATAGTAAATAGTTTGTTTGACAATTTGTTTGACAACCACAGTTCCGCATCTAATCATGTGACTTCACACAACACAGTCCATAGAATAATATTTTTGTTAATGATGACCAAATCATTTATCTCAGCTGTAAGAATATCCTTGCCAGTAAAAACAGTATATAAACGTTGATATAAAATTAGTGAATTTCTTTTTCAAAAAAGTAGTTAATATATTGAGGCCTGGTAAAAAAAAATTTGTCATAGATTTGTCCTCGATGCTCTAGCCATCACATGGATTTGTTTAAATCCACCACAGGCATACCTGATTTAATTGAAAAAGTATTGATTAGCCACTCCAGGTATTGGATAATAACTACAAAAAAAACGGCTTCCTCGTGTAGAGGTTTGGAAGTGGTTAGGAAAACAGATTACATACATAAAATCCATACTTTTTGTATTAATGTCTATTGTGTTTGTTCTAAAATTAGTGTTCTTCTTAGCAAGTAAATATTTACTACCCAATTAATTAGCTTTTTTAGTATAATTTTCCTGGGTGCTTAAGACTGCACAGTGCTGTATATGATCTTAATTTGACAAGCTAAATGAGATGTTTACATGGCTATTGTGGCAATTGTGTTGGCAGTTTGATAATTAGATTTGGTACAAATTAGTTGCTAAGAATCTGTCAAATCCATTAATTCTCAGTGTTTCTAAATAGTTATGTGGAAAGTAATGCATTTATTTGTTGACCATTTGTGGTACGTGATTTAGCAAAGCTAATAAATGTGTGCATATGTGTCTTTTTTCAGGGATGGGCTATGTTCTAGTGACTCCTCATCAAGGTAAACAAACAACTTATTGTGTTGTATATTAATGCATGCTGGGAAGTGTGTGTTGGAGAGAGGAAGAAAGCAAAAAGTTTACTTGAGAGAGAGAGAGAGAGAGAGAGAGAGAGAGAGAGAGAGAGAGAGAGAGAGAGAGAGAGAGAGAGACACACACACACACACACACACACACACACACACACACCCCCCTCAAGTGAGAGTGGCCATGTGCTCATGAAAAGGGCTGTGTGTGTGCGTGCGCGCGCGTGTGTGTGTGTGTCTGTGTCACTTCATTGCCCAGTAGGATTTATGAAGCTCAGAGCAGGATTGCTGAGGAGCACAGCTGCAGTTCCATTTGTTTTTTACTGCTGTGTCTCTTCAATGCAGGCAGTCTTTCTTCCCCACACATATAAACTAAACCAAACCACACCACTCTCATTAAACATCCCATAAAACTGGAAAGTAATCTGTGCTCAAATCATTAAATGTTTTCATACGCTAATGCAGGTTGGAGGCTACTTTCTACTGCCATTATGACTATATAGCCCATACATAGAGAATAGTTAGTATCACATGTTCCCACATAAGAGCAACATATGATATTAAGTGTAGAAATTAGACATGCTGTTGTTCAATGAATTGTGTATTCACTGATTCTTTATAGCAATTACATTGTTACATATTGTGATGCTGATATAGCATAATATTAGTATTATTTTTTACCAAAATGATTTATGTTTGTTGGGCGACATGAATCCCTCGATTCATCCAATCACACACAGAAACTTGTCTGGAGTGTCTCAAGTTGGTCAGCAAACAAAAAATTTAAATGTTGTCAGTCATTACTTTGAAAGCAGTAGTTAGTGTAGACCCCCAGACTGTGTACTTGATGACATATTGGAGCGTGTGCTCTGCTGACGTACTGCAGAGATTGCATTGACTTATGAGGGAGAAGGGAGCGATTGGTGGAGCGCTAGTGTTGCGAGCATGAGGCGATTTGTGGATAGTGAAATTTTAAAGAATGCTATTCCTGCAGGATGTCCTCAGCTACCAGTGAATTATTCAGTGCATAGTAAGAGTGAGCAGAGTCTGACCCTGTTTACCCCCCTCATACTGTCGCATTCTCACTCAGTCACGCACTCACATTCATTTTCTCACACACACACTCATATGCCTTGCCATTGTGTGTGGTTTGGTGCGCATACTCTTTATGAAGGGCTGTGTTGCTGAAGCTGCAGGTTTCTCTCCCTCTCTTAGTCTTTCACTGCAGGGCCTAGGATCTCTCCAATCAGTTTTCTTCTTATGGGGATGGGTAACATGGGGATATGTTATGAATTGTCACAGTCATCTTTTCTCTTCTTGTCAGGAGATCGCAAGTTCAAAAGAGCACAAATGGCCTTGCTCTGTAGGTGAGCAAGGCCATTTGTGCTCTGGGGAGAATGGCCCTCCTTCTCCCCATCACTCAGAGCAATGCTAGCCAGCTTAGGCGTCTGTTAGCTGACGTAACATTCAGCTGTCCAATGACGTTGTATGCTGTCAGTTCAAAATGATGCCAAGGGTGGCTTCACATGACTCAGAGAAAGCTTGTGTTTGCCTTTGCCCTCCTAGTACTGGTGGTATTATGTGATTGAGGGAGACCTACCTAATGGCTGAAACTGGATGTGACTAAATTAGGGAGACATTTGGAAAAAATCCACCCCCCCTAAAACCTAAAAACTGCTAAGCTTTAAAATGAGTTATTTTAAACTGAAGCACTTCACCTAAGATGAGCATCTAAAAGTATGCTATCATGCTCAAGCTACTCAAACACTACACAGCTAACAACATCACATCACACAATGTGAATGTGTACTGTTTCAGGTAATATGAGATAGGACTTCTGATTGGATCAGACTCCAGCCTTCCCAGCATTTTTGCTTTTATTTAATACTGATACCTGACATCAGATGAGTGCCATCTCTGTCAGCCTGTTGTCTTATTTTAATATAATTTTCGTCCTGTTCCTTCATAAGTAAGTTATCATTGTAAATGTAAAACCAATATAGAAAATATTCTATAAAATATTCCAAATATAGAACTACTCTTCTGTATCATATCATAGGACACATTTTTGTGAAAATCATCAATTATTGTGACCGGGACACATTTTTTGACTCAACCAATTAACCGATTATCATTATTCATTGATAAATTAAGGACACAACTCCTCAAAATATCAACTATAAAACAAACTTCTAGATCTAAAAGCTAACAGGCTGAGCAATGTTCACAGCCATTATAAAATACTTGATATACGCACATTTATGTTGCTTTTGAGTGCACACAATATATTAAAGTGTTCCTTGCATGGGTGGTGGAACATAATACTGATAGGTGTGGCCAGGCGTAAGTGTATATATGAGGCAAACAACCCAACATGGTATTAAACATACCCTATATAAGAACCCATTTTGGTTAAACTAGGGGGCTGACAACTGTATGCTCATGATTATGTGATCAAATAATAAAAATAATAAAAATGGAATATATAGTGATGGGCTACTGATAGTTCTATATTCTGTAAGTTGAAACAAACACGGATGCCGTGACCATATATAGCTGTAACTCAGTGTATCTCAGGAGTTCTTGAAAGTCTTTACAGTCCACCGGGTCCTTCCTCTACAATTTTACACACACAATTTTTGACATAAAAAGTACTTTAATGCCTTTTTCACAGATAGCTTTGGTCGAACAATTGTTTACAACCCTAATTATGATATTATAAATTTGCCTTATCGCCTGCCCTTAACACATGCGCACACACAAAGGCCCTCCTTCATCTCTGTCTGTACCTTGTCCCCTACCTTTTTGCTGAATACCGACAAACTGGTAGATGTATGTTCTCTTGTGAAAGGTCAGATGCTTCTCCTTTCTTTCCTCCCCCTCCCCCTTTCCTGAGACTGCAGTTATTCAGTTCTTCACAGGAGAGGAGAGAGAGCCTCAGTACTGTTGCTACGGAGAAATGTGTGTGCGCTCATATGTTCTCTCTCTTAAACTCGTGCATGTGTGATGTGTGCGCACAACTGCTCTCTCTTTCTGATCACACTTTAAATGCCCTCCCCCTTACACTACCACATGGCTGCCATTTACTTCTCATTACAGCCAGTATTGTGCGCTCGGCGTCTGGAACTAATCTGTGCTGACAATTGGAACCCCAAGCTGCCACTGTGAAACACCCCCAACCCCCACCCTCCACTCCTCCATTCAGCAGCAGTATTATAATTAACTGCTCACTGCAGTGCTGCTTTTTATTTTTACACTACTCTTACATGAGAGAGAGAGAGAGAGAGAGAGACAGGGTGAATATGAATGGATGTGCCTACTCATTTATTCATATATGACTGCTTGGCCAACCAGTTTGCTCTGTCTTCTGCTCACACAAGAACACTGAAGTACATTCATCCCCCTTTGGACTATAAAACGCATATATGTTCATTACAGGTGCATGATTATACTGGTAAAGTGGGAGTTTGCAAAAAAAATATAGTTTACACAATTCTTTGTTGTTGTTTATATATATATATATATATATATATATATATATATATATATATATATATATATACACTCACCTCAGATTCCATAAACTGCTTCTAGTTTTGCCAGATTTGCTGTAATGAGAGTGCCCCATACCTTAAGCATCGTAATGGTTTTCATAGTGCATTTAAAGTGATATTCGCTTTATTATCCAACAGTATTAGTCACCCTAGACATTGGATGGCTATAATGTGTAGGTTATGCAGCCTATTTAATTAAATTAATTCTACCGGCAGCTGTGCCATTCCCTTACATTTGAAAAACATATGTAAGGTGGCCCACGTGAATGCATTTGTTCACTTTAATGGGATTCTTTAATTTGCAGAGAGCTATAGTGATTATATTTTCACTCACTCTCCTCACACCCACTGAGATTATTTAGTTGTCTCCTTAAGACAGCTAGTGCTGTAGTTAAATTAGGCATCCGGGAAAATAGGCTCCAAAGAGAACGTCTGACACATATCACCAAAAAAGTACTGTAGTGTAGTTTTTGTTCTTGTTCTGGATTGGCAAAAAGGCCTTGCTCAGGTATAGAATAGCATCCCCCTCCCCCACTGTAGTGCTGATGTGTTGGTGCATTTACAGCCTATCTGGAAGGAGCCTTTCTTTTGCATATGCCAGGCAGGTCCTTGTGAAGTGATTATGTAATCCATGAGTACCCGTGTATGAGCACAGACTCTTTCCTCTCCTCTCAGACCTCAATTTTCCTCCTACTCGTGTTCCCTCTGTGCCATTTGTTGGCTTTCTCTGCAGGACGTGCGCCTGAAACACAGTCGCCCACAGCACGTGTAGCAGTATGCTGTGGGTCAGCAGCAGAGGAGCTGAGTGTAGCAGCAGGGAGAGATGTCATATGGAGTTTCAGTGAAGGCATATCTGTGTGCTTGTATTGGTGCAATATTCACTAGACTCCAATTTGTGTGCATGCTCGTGTGAATGTGTGTTGTGTGAGCATCTGAAGGTAAACATTCTGCTTTAAGACACCCTGCCATCGGTCTGTTAGCAGGATTACATTCTTAAATGAAACCTTTGCCCAGTGACTTATTTATGATTCTGTACACATGTAGTGCTTTTCCACTGAACCGTGCTGTACGCCTTGGTACAGTTACAAATCTTGTCCAGTTCCAAGAGAACCGCACTGAATTCTGAATTTGGTAACCATTCTTGCCAGGGTACAATCATACAGAACTGGGAAGTTTGGGTAGAGCTGTTAATAGTGCAGACCATTGACTGGTCATGCACAGCCACCCCAAAATCATTATATATGATTCTAAGAAATGCCAGCTAGTCAGAATTGCTGTCTCTGACTCTTCACATGTAACAAAATGCTGTGTAAAAGATCAATCAGAGCTTGCAGCTACTCCATTGGTGCTACTGTTGTGCTGGACAACTATACTACATTGAACAACTATACTACATACTACAGTGTAACCATATTGTGCCATACCACACTGTCTGGAGATAAATGCTGTTACTTCATCACTGGTCAGATTCTGAACACAGGACCATGGTTGGATATTTTACAGTGTGGATTATTCTCAGCCCTGCAGGGACACTGTCTGCTGTGCCTGATATACTCATACTAGCTTAACACACATTACCATGTTGTTATTGCTGCTGTACTGAGAGTGGTCCACCACAGGACCACCACTGATGAGATCTTATCTGAATGGTGGACCATTCTCAGTACAGCAGTGATAAACTGATTGTGTAGAGCACTGAGAAATTGTGGAGCAGATGGCCTGTAGTCAGTAACTATAAACCTACATAATGTACTGATATGGTAGTATCTGATAAAATGACCAAGGCATGTTGGTACAAGGTAGGAGTGTCCCTAATAATGAACTGGCAACTTGATGGAGGTCCATAAATTAATCTAACAGCTTGTGCCTCTACGTCCTCTCTCTCTGCAGTAAAAGGATGAAGAAGGCTGATAAAAATGGGAAGGGCCTCAGGCACTTCTCAATGAAGGTCTGTGAGAAGGTGCAGAAGAAAGGCACCACATCCTATAACGAAGTGGCTGATGAATTGGTGGCTGAGTTTGCCCACGCCAACCTGACACACACAAATTCAGTGAGTATCTCCTCTCCAGAGAGTGAACGTCGAGCTGCTAAACACCTCAAATGACTTATTTGCATTAATCTTGCAGATTTTGTGTTAACATCAATGATATTAAAGAATGCAAATGAATCAATGCCAAAAAAGACACTTAAACCTTTTAGTGCCTTTTAGTGTGTCACTGATTCATTCAAACGTTAATAAAACTTACTTCCCTTACTTCACCTGCTGGTCGTCTGGACACTCGTGTTCATGTATAAGGAAGGACAAGCCCAGGTTCAGATCTGCCGAGATCTACTGCTTGACTTCTTACTAGACTGCAGTAGTCTGTGCCGAAGGCAAAATCGCTTTTGTTGTTGGTTTCAAATCAGTTGTGCTGATTCTTCAGTGATCTGCCTATGGTTTGAGTGAGGAGTGTAGGTTCAGGGTCAGCGCTGAAAGACAGCTTCTCCCTGGCGTATGCGAGGGCAGTGTGTAGTAAATACTTTCCGGTATTAGTTCTGACAGGATACCCGATGTCGCCCAGGCTGGAGTTTTAATCTCCTTACCTCTTCTGGAATGTTAAAAGTATAATTAAAAAAGGTTTAACGGCAGGTGCAGGCAGCTGGTTAGGCCTTAGAGTTGGTTTTGGGGGGTCTGAAGCCTTAGAGTGAAGGGGCTTTAGAGAAAGACTCGAAGTTGCTGTCATAGATTTGATTTGTGTTAATTCTGTGTGTGTGTTTGCATGTTTGTGTTTGTACAAGCAGCAGGTGTATGACCAGAAGAACATCCGCAGACGTGTATATGACGCACTGAATGTGTTGATGGCCATGAACATAATCTCTAAAGAGAAGAAAGAGATTCGCTGGATCGGTCTACCCACTAACTCAGCACAGGAATTTCGCAACCTGGAGGTGGGTTCAAGAGAAAGATGACAAATGGACAGACAAATGTGTACATGGGTTAATTAAGCCACACATCTGCCAGATCTGGTGTTCTAAAGTAGGGAAAACACAGTATGCACTCCCCTGGACTGGGTTTTGGAACCGCTGGGTTACTTTTCTTCACTGCAATATTCCAAAAAACTAAAGTGTGCAGACACAACCATTTCCTGAGGGCGTAATCTGTAACTGTACCACTTAGGGTCGTGCAGCTGGAATGATTGCAGGACCTCTCTTCTCTCTCTCATTAAATATAATGCCAGGTGGCAGTGTTGAGTGCCTGTTGTTTTCTGAATGTGTTTAGCCGCTACATGACTGTTAGTTCAAAAAGATGCAGTGGCAAGATGTAAAACATCCAGCCAGTGGTGTGTCCTGGCCTTTGTCTGTCTGAACTGTACTGCAGCAAGATAGACCATTTGTAAAAATTTGGGCCACCTCCCTTATTCACTGTTGTTACCTGGTAGCATCCGTAGTACTTGTACTAAGAGCACAAACTTCAGTAGTACAAAGTAAAATTTGGAAGCACACAAAGGGTACCTCTGAAAATATGTTTCTAAAACAAACTAGCTTTACACTATACTCACTGCAGACATATGGATTATATGAATGTTGGCCCCTTTAAAATGAACAAAAGAGGATTCCTGAAACTATTTTACATAAATCAAACCTGGAAAATAGTTTAGTCACTCAGTATTAAAGTGGTAGGCTTTTATGTCTAATAAGGAGGAGGTTTTTGTGAAGGGAGCTAGCCCTTCAGATGAACAGATGAAGGCAGGATACACCCTTGACAGGTTACCAGTCCATCGCAGGGCAGTACAAAGAATAGAGCACATTAATACAGTATTTTAAGTACATATGTGAGCACTGTGCAGTCCTGTTTAATCTGACTGATTTATCAAGCCAACTGTGAACAGCTAAGTTATGAAAAGCTAACTAGTTAGCTAACCAATCTTAACATTTTTCTAGAACATTTATCAATAGACATCATATAAAAATGATTTTCACAGTAATCTATGCAAATTTAGCTAACCTCAGAGCCAGCATAATTATGCGTGTTAACAGTTTTGTCACTGATTTGTGAGTGTGGTCTTCTATATAGTAGTATCCAAAACCTTTTCAGCCTCAGGAATGAACAACACCCATCTCCACATGATAAGCTTGTGTCAGGCATTATACACACCTTAGTAGCACTTTTCCACCATATGTTAGCCTCATAATTCTGACTAATTTACTGCCACTGCTGTTCTCACTGCAGGTTTGTTTTGAGGGTTTTTTCCTTCACTTGACTGAGTAAGCAGTGTTTACATATGGTTGTGATTGGCTGAGAGGCATGTCATTCATAATTTTGCAAACGGTCAGTTGGCTGTGGTTAAATTGGAAGAAAATGAGGACAAAAAGACCACACATGTAGCAGAAGCAGCAGACTTGGAGGAGTGTATGCGTATATGCTTTGGAGAAACAGGGAATTTTGGAGAATCAAGCAGTCAAAGTCTTACTACAGTAAAGGTTATTGAATTATTCTGTGAATCAAGTTTTAGGTATTTGTGTTAACTGTTGTATGTTTGTGTGGGTGTTGTGAGGGGCCTTCTGACAACATCGGGTACTGTTACAACTGAGCGAATGGTGCTAGAGATGTGAGGGAGGGGTTGAGGTAGACTATGAAGAATAAAGCAGAGAGAGAGGATGGAGAGCATCAGATGCTTGTAATTTTTCCATTTTGTAACACTACAAAGTCTATATAAATCTCAGGATCTCATACTGGCTTTCACTCTGACTTTCTTCTGTATAGCATAGTTTTTTTTAGCTCTGTATGTGTGTGCTGGAATTGCATCAGACTGTAGACTGCAACATCAGCATGAATGTCCAAATTTATCTTCTCTCCTCTGAATGCTTGTATATATGTTTTTCAGTTGGAGAAGCAGAAACGGTTGGAAAGAATCAGACAGAAAAGAAGTCAGCTGGAGGAGCTTATACTACAGGTTTGTACCAGCCTGGACTGTGTATGATGGTGCCTGTTTACATGCCTCTTCAAGCAGTACGTTTGGTCATCAACCTTATGATGTGGAATGATTGGAATGATCCCACTGGATGGAATGAATGGCATCACCATTAGCATACAAAACAGATCATAACCATTGTACCAGTGCAGGAACAGGAAGAGCTGAGAGAAGATGCAGTGGCACTTAAAGGTCATATCGCATCACTGCTCAATTGATCTGTCTGTGCTCCACCCATAAACACAATTGGACAAGATTTACTGAAGGTTGACAGAAATCCCAGCATTCTGTAGAGCTTTAGCCTAATGAGAAACTTTAGCGCACAACTCAGTTTTTATCAAAACATCTACATTTAGAGTGGTGGTAATAACATTTTCAAAACATACCATCCACATTTATGGAAACTAAGCTGCAAAACATCCCGTTTTTAACTGTTTGCTTTTGTGATGTCACAAAAACCGATGTTTGCTTGCATCCGCATATTTGGGAAACAGTGATTTAGCCCCACCCATTCACACTGAAGCTATAAAGAGTGTTTCAACCTGAACCGCTGTTTATGTAAGACATAATACATGGCAGCCAATCAGAACAGAGGTCATTTAAAAATCATTCTTAAAGGTACAGTATCAAAAGCGGCCTGTTTCATTGTGAGACCTGACAAGAGGTTGGAAAAGGTGATGTAAAAAAGAATTACTACTGATTTTGGTGCATAACACCACTTTGGGGCGAGGAGGAGAGGGGAAGAGAAGAGAAAAATGTAGTATGTATATACAAGAATAATAATAATTTGCATAATTTGACAAAAACTGAGTTTCCCATTAGGTTAAATGGGGTTTTTGGTGGTTCGGCTGTTCAACCCCACAGTAGTTGATATGAGAGAACACATTTTAGGCGGAGTATGGATAGGCCAATTCTGTGGAGAACTGCACTCTCAGTTTATTAATTGCCTCAGCAAGGGAGAGGCGCCAGTGTCCTCTGCCTCGCCCACTGAAACTGGACACTGTTCCAGAATGTACAACCCACAACCTCCTCACTCCCGCTGCACGTGTTTACAAGTAAATCATTACAGCATGTTCAGTTTGATACTATATTCTCTCCTACAGAAAACCACCCAGTCACAAATCTGTAGCCCTTAGCATGTTCACTTAAGCACATTAGTGTCTGTTAAAGAAATTAATGGAGGTCCTGTCTGAGAAAATGTTGCAGGTGCTTTATCATTCACAGAGCTCTTCTAATGCTGCAGTTTAAAACACTGTCATTCTAAATTGGTTGCATTAATTTAGTTCAGTGAATTCTGTTTCTGTGGATTGATAATGGAGGCTGTGTGTGGGAGAGATTACTTAATGTACTGACCACTGCATCCCTTTCCTTGAGCAGCAGATAGCCTTTAAGAACCTAGTGCAGAGGAACCAGGCCAACGAAGCGTCATCGAAAACACCGCCACCACCTGGATCTGTCATTCAGCTGCCCTTCATTATTATTAATACAGACGTACGCACAGTCATCGACTGCTCCATCTCCAGTGACAAGTATGATCATTATTTTATAAGTCTAATTTTTTTTTTGTCTTATTTATATTTTGTTATTGGTAGCCAACGTAAGGCAAGCACATTCCTTTATTTTTTTTATTAACTAATATATAACTTTTTAATAAGACATTTAAAACATTTTATTAATGATCCATGTAATAAATGTCTTTTTTCTGCCTCTATTCTAACTTGTATCACTTCATTCCTTATTGCAGATGTGAATACCTCTTTAACTTTGACAATATGTTCGAGATCCATGATGACATTGAGATTCTGAAGCGCATGGGCATGTCTCTTGGGTTGGAGAATGGCAAATGTACCCCAGAAAACCTCGCTGTTGCCAAGTCTCTTGTGCCCAAATCCCTGGAGAGCTATGTTACAGGTAGGTCACTCCAGAAATCCTGACACATAGAAGTTTAAAAGAGTATGTCTTACTGAGAAAAATGCTTGTGCAGGCTGCACGTGCCTGTTCACAGTAGCTTTGTGGAGGCTTGATGAACATTAGCCAGAATATAAAAGATGTGATGATTAAAACAAGCGACATGAATAAGTAAACAACAGAAATGAATAGCTTACGTAAAGTCTAACTGTCAACTTGTCACTAGCAATCATTTGTCTATTTTGAGTGATTTATTGACAAAGAGCAATTATTTTAATAACAGAACTATAGGGTTCTGCTTGAATTTGGCTTTTGTACTACAGTCACTTAATAACCTTGTTTCTGTATTTGATATTTTCCCAGGCATGGCCAGAAATACCAACAGAACGCCTCCCAGCCATACAAGGTATAGTTCCTTCTTTCAGCGTATTTAGAATGACATCTGTCTTACTAGAAGAAACATATAAACATACAAAATGTGCTCAGCAGACCAACCCACAGTCTTAGAAATGGAAGAAGCACTAAGCATTCAGCATTAAAGCTAACTAGGAACAGCATGGGTTATGATGCCAGCATTTTCGCATTCTTGATTTCAAATACCTCCTCACATGCTGCTGTGTTCAGTTAAGCATTAGAGTGGTGTTGCACCTAGAATAGGCATTAAGCAAATCACAGTATAGTAAATAAATGATGAACCAATGAAAAAACAAAAAACTGTCAAAACACAAATACTGTCATTCATGGCTGTTATTTAACAGAATACTGGTTAAACCTTCTATAGGTTCTATAGGTTTAACCTTCTATATCAATTCATTCAATCTGTATTGATACGATTGTCCAGTCACAAGTCAGAAAGCTGTCGAGTGTAAACAAATGCAAATGCTATTTTACAAATTAGCTTTTAAAAAACTAAATAAAATCTAGTCTGTCTAGGATGTTTGTAGAACTGTTCTACAGCACAAACACTTGTATCTGTGAAAGGTTAATGGTTATGAGCTGCATAAGGTATTGTAGTATGTATAAAATTTGGCATAAATTATATAAAATGTTTTATTCTGTATTGTCAGTTCAGAGGAATTTAGCCCAATACAAGCACTCAATAAACGTAGCTAACATTTTAAATAGACATATTAAGCTGAAATCTGAGAAATATAGCAAAAATGAATGGTTAAAAGTGCTTCATGAATGTGAGTTAGTTTTTTCTGGAGTACTATTTTTCAGGTTCTGCAATTGTAACACTGCAGAAACTATAAAATGGCTTTCTTTAAACAACTTAGTTGAGTATGTCATGAGTATGTCATTCTTCTGGATGCACATTTTTGGTTGATACTTAGTTCAGTGTTGTCATCTCTTTCCACAGCCACAGTAGCACAACATCCTCACACACCTCAGAATCTCGGGGCCAGACGCCTAGTTCCTTTAACGAGGAAGATGACGACGACGATGATGATGACGAAGACGACGACGATGACCCCTCCTCCCCTGAATGATCCCCAACCCTTTGGGTTTGACACCTTTGCTCTTCTTTGGAACTGGGCCTCCAATCCACCTTTCAACATTCTGCCAAGTGCACGGGTGGAACATTACACAGGGAATAGGCTTCCACTTGCTCACAATGCGATTGTTTCTAAATCTTCTTTCTATTGGACTTTTGCTTGCTCTCGTTCACACTGATGACAACAGCATCTATGAGAACTGGTCAGTTGTGTTTCAATGGTGCTTTTCTACTCAAACAAGCCAGCAAGCTGCAGGTCATAGAAGAGGGAGATGCTAGCAGAAATTTCGCTTTGGCAGCCTTCAGTAGTTTGACATACTGCCTCCAAACATCTTTTCATTAAGTATAAAGTATCAATGTATTTATTGCTGTCATATTCTAATATGAAATCATTATCTTTGTAGTCCATTGTGTGTTGATGAGCTGAAGCCCAAATGTTCTTTTGTTTCTCCCCACCAGCCCCCCACATGAGGTGTTAAGAATTCAATGCATTGTCTATACCTGTTTCTGTGTTTACTCACTGGAAGGAATTTGTTTCATTTTTTTCAAAAAGAAAAAGATCTTTCATATATGGGTTATGTTTTTTTCTTAATTTTGTTGTGCATTACCTAGTTTATTATATTCTTGCCATTTCCTGCAATAGAATGAGTTGGAAAAAATGAAATAACTGATGACTGTATTTTTCTGGGTACATATGGTATGAAAAGACGCATGCTGGGGAGTGAAGTGATTTTGTAAAGTGTGGTGTGTAGAGTAGCATCTTCTGCCAATGTCTAATTTTGCTAGAAATTTGTAGTGGATCTGAAAAGGCCTATCCCAGGGACACTGCCCTCTGTGACCTGCTCAGGTCAGTGTTTTAAACATGGAGTCTTATTTGAAAATCCAACAGGATAATGAATATTTCTTGTTCTCTGATGGTTTCTACTTTTGGTTTGGAATGTAATTCTCTATGTGTATATACATATATACATATAAACTTATAATTTTGGTTACCTGTGTGTCCACTAACTTCTTATTTAGTTACCTCTGTGTTTCCAGCAGTTCCTTATTTGGTTTCCTGTGTGTTCACATTTCCATATTGTGTACAACTAGCCATGTTTATATTTGTGTGGAAGGACTTTTAGAAAAAAAACTGTGACCTGCTATACCTATTACAAAAAGGAAGTCTTTGCCATCCTAAACATCTTTCCTGAGTTGATGTCCTGACTGATGGCTGACATTGGTCTCAGGTATTAACTGTAGACTTGATACTTTGCCCTTAGAACAGAACATTTACTTATCCCCAAAGCACAATTCACAGTCTGTTCATATTTTTTACCACTGTGCTCCTGTTCATGTAGAGCTCTGACTTAAAAAGGGTCTTGGTAACTATTCACTCAAATAGCTATGCAGAAAATTGCCATTTCAGAAAGAAAACATTGGAAGAATGAACTATTGCTTTTTTATGCAGCTTGGTTTAGCTCAGACTAAATTAGTTACCACCATTACAGTAGTAACAAATTATACACTAATTTAAACAAAGATAATGTGATGTTATCTCCAAAAAATAATCAGATAATGTTTTTTACAAACAAAACTGTACTTTAAGGGAGAGTGGGGCTCAAACTTGGACTCCAACCACACATTTTATTAAAGTGAACATTAGATGGAATGGCAGAGTAATGAGTCAAAGATATCTTTCCACACTGCCAAAAGTAACTTTTGCTATGCCGTAATGACGTTCAATCACTGTTTTTGCATTTTCATTTTATCAGGGAGGGTCTTTAGACGTCCTCTGGTGAGGTGAAACATGACGTTACTGGTTAATAATATTTTCCCTGCCTGCTGGTGAGCGCTGATGTAATTAAAACTTGAGAAGACATTTTAGAGGCAGGCAAAAGACAATACACTTTGATCACAGAATAGAAGGAAACAAGAATTTTAATTACATATGATGAATCATGCTTATTATGACCAGGCACGCAAACTATGTAAAAAACAAAGGCCAATTTTGATTTCCAGTTGACTTTACAGTGGCTGGGCCTACTGACCACATTTTTACTGTAGGTCTGTTTCAATGATATGCAGCAGCAGCATTTTTTTTAATTACTGGCCAAGTATGTTAGGACTTCCTTCCACAAGGAATTTGACTATCACAAGCATATACTAACATCCCTGCTAGAAAACTCAAAAGCAGCATAGATGAGCATGCCTTGTGACCAGCAAAATCAGCATATGTTGTGTTTTGGATGCTGGTATGCTGGTCAACCAGCATGACCATTTTGGGTGGCCAGCTAAACCAGCATGAATGCGTGATGGCCTGTGCTGTGTCTTTTCCCCACCAGGAAAATACACACACTCATAAATGAGTGTTTAAAGTGATTCAGATGACTCCTGATTACAAGTGAAGCAAGTTAAGCCATCGTTAATTACTCTTAGATCTGTGTGCCTTCTGCAACAATGACCCTTTCTGAGTCCTTCATGTTTTCACACAGTGACAGCCATGAAGGCCTGAGCTGCGTCTGTGAGCATACTGCCGGGCTGAGCCACAGCACCGCCAAATGGTGAGGAGGGCTTCTCACTGCAACTTCAGCTTATTTTAATCCTGTGAAAACTCACCACTTTAACAATGTGTATACCTTAACCTTTATCTGTTAGCATGTATCTCAGGTTAAATGAGCTTTAATTTGAAAGGACTGATCCGGGGGGGGGTGGTCCTCATAGACTGACGTATGAAACAAGTATTCATGGATGTGTCTCCTTTCTCATTTGTATTCAGTATGAGTGGCCATCTAAAGTGCTGGTGCAGCACTGCACTCATCACACTGTGTCTCAAAGACAGCATGGCTAAATCTTGAATGTTTCCCTACTCCATATAAATGGTGCACTGAAATAACAAATTCGCCAACCAAACAGTGACTACAACGAGCAGCCATAACATTAAAACCACCTCCTTCTTTCTACACGCGTCCATTTTATCAGCTCCACTTAGATATAGAAGCACTTTGTTGTTCTACAATTACAGATTGTAGTCCATTTGTTGCTCTGCATATTTTGTTAACCTCCTTTCATTGCTCAGAACCCCTTAGGACCACCACAGAGAAGGTATCATTTGGATCATTGTGGTGGATCTTTCTCAGCACTGCAGACACTGACGTGATGGTCATGTGTTAGTGTGTTTTGTGCTGGTATGAGTGGATCAGACACAGCAGTGCTGCCGTCTTTGCTGGGCTGAGAATAGTCCACCAACCAAAAATATTCAGCCAACAGCGTCCTGTGGGCAGCGTCCTGTGACCATTGATTAAGGACTAGAGGATGACCAACACAAACTGTGCAGCAACAGATGAGCTACTGTCTTTGACTTTACGTCTACAAGGTGGACCAACAGGTGTGTCTAATAGAGTGGACAGTGAGTGGACACAGTGTTTAAAAACCCCAGCAGCACTGCTGTGCTGATAATGATCCACCACCCAAATAATACTTGTTCTGTGGGGGTCCTGACCACTGAATAACAGGGTAAAAGAGGACTAAGAAAGTATGCAGAGAAACAGATGGACTACAGTCTGTAACTGTAGAACTACAAAGTGCACCTTTAAGTGGAACTGGTAAACAAATTAGTGTGGAAACGAGGTGGTTTTAATGTTATGGCTGATCGTTCAGTAGGGAATAGTCAGGACATAAAGTGCACTAATCTGGTGTGGAAGTCATTCTTTCATGTCATAGGCCTATGAAGTGCGGTACGTAGGGAGCATAAAGCCATTTGAAACGCAGCCCTTGTTAGCCATGAGCTAATGATGAAGCTCTTCATAAGCTGAAGCCCATTTATGTGAACCAGAGCAGTGCTGTGTATTTGCATGACTATTCGAGCACTAAACTCAATGCGTGCCCTGACAAAGCAGTGCTGAAACTTCGCTAAACGTCTTTAGACTTTCCTTCTCAGAGAACTAATCGAAGCACTTGTTTTCTAATCTAATCATGCTGGTGAATCTAATCTGTGGTGTTAATTGGTTTAGACCATGCCGTGGAGGGTGGGGTGCGGGATTAGCCATAGGCTACTCAGGGGAAATGCGGCAGGCAGAAAGCACTTAAACTGCACTTCATTTGTGAGAGTCCCGCTCATGACGAGGACCGCTGGGGTTTTTAGTTTTGATACAACTTCATATCTGATGGTTTAATTCTCATACGGATCTTCTCAGTCTTAGCGTGGTGTCGCACTGCGCATGCGCACGGTGCGGTTCTGTGGAGAGGCAGTGCGCGCCGGCTTCTGAGCTGAGCTCCACACACACATAGACACACACACATTCTCTCTCTTTCACACACACCCCTCGTTTCTTTTCTGATTCCTAAGTGGCATCCCGGCTGCCCGGCTTGTGTCTTCAAAAGCATTTTGTTTTTAGTTTTTTTCTCTCTCCGCTGTCAGTGAACAGTCCGTCTTAACCTCGCCATGGCGAACAAGGAGGAGAAACCTGAGGGGAAAGAGTCGAGCTGGAAAGATTTTATCTACAACCCGAGAACCGGGGAATTCATCGGGCGCACTGCGAGTAGTTGGGGTAAGAAACCTCCGAGAGTGGGTATCTGACGAGGCTGAAGTTGGCTCCCCGTTCAACAGTTTCTGGTTCGAATTTTCCCGTTCCACCTTAAATGGTGCAGCAGTTACATTCTGGCGCCTCAGGCTGCACCGTTTAAGGTGGAACGGGAAAACTCGAACCAGAAGCTGGCGAATAAGAAGCTGGTTTCAGCCTCGTGAATATCTGGCTGTCCGATAGTTCTTAAACATCTGTGCTGGCTACCCGTTGGATAAGACAAAACCACTCACTTAATGCTCAGTCTGTGCTACAGTGTCCGGCGTTTGGGCTGTGTGCTGGTACAGAAGGTATTTGGCACTGAATAGCATCAGAACCACGAATGCTTTTAGAAGAACAGTGGCACTGTCCATGCGGCTGGAGCATAATACAGATTTGAGTATTAGCTAATATTGTTTTATATAAACGAATGCGCGACAGGCAGACGTGGTTGGTGCCTAGGATCGATGAAAACCGACGCTTTCTTTTAGTGCTGCTGCATAGGTGGCTGATAGCATTGATCAGTCCAATGAAGCCCAAAGAGAATAACGTTATCTCCAGATTTGCAGCCTGTTCTTCAGTGTGAATGTAGAGCTGAGTGAACTCGTGCTGAACAGTGAGTGATTCCTCTGCATGGTGATGCATGATTTAAGCAGGCCTGCCACATGCCGCAGGAGCCCTTCTGTGTTATGTTAATACCCAACAGGGATTCACTTCAGAACCGGCGAGGGAGCTGAAATCTGCATCTAAAGATGCAAGGATTTCGATATAGTGTCAGAATATAAAAAAACATGGATTTTAAAACTGTCACCAGTACACCCCCCTGTCTCTTCTGATGGTCTGTCATTTATCAGCTTTCGTTAAAAACATGGTCAGTGATCAGAATCGCATTTGGTTCTTTACAGAACCAAAAAAGACTTACACCAGTGGAGGAACCAGTTTTTTTAGGGGTCTTTGAAGAGGTGATTTTCCCATCATAGAGAAAAAAACAGTTTTGCATGGTTCTTTGGGTGTTCATGATTCTCTATATAACTATTACCTTTTTCTAAAAACACTTGAACCATGTTTTTTGGGCTGTAGGTGTCTGGGTGCATTTAATATTGTACATCTGCACTGTTCTATCACTGTTTCACACAAAGTCATGCTAATTTGCTGTCTTCTTTGTTTAACAATGAACTTTATTTTTCTAAGCCAACCCAGTCATATTTTGTATGTAATATCAAATCAAATCTCGACCTGTGTATCAAAAATCTGAAAACGTGTCTATCATTACACCCTTACTGAAATCAAAGGCACCACACGTCATGTTGGGTCCCCAACCGCACGAGGCTTCAGCATTAATACATGACGACGGCTCTCTTCCACACCGAGCTGCCACATTCACACGAGGCTTGGTGGTGGGGGGTGATGTCAGGGGATGTCATCCCCTCCATAGTCTTTTATTAATGCAC